ATGAACTAGGATGGACGGTACAGTGAGCTTGGACATGAATGTGATACTTTATTTTTATTGGCATGTTTTGTGAGGAACTGAAGTGCACGGTTTCCAGTACCTCTCTAGTCTTATGTTGGCTTTTTCAATGTTTCTTTTCCACCGTAGTTGAGATGGATAGCCTTTCTGAACTATCCCAACAAGGTGCCAACCATGTCAACTTCGGTCAGCAGCCAGTCCCAGGGAACACAGCCGAACAGCCTCCATCCCCTGTTCAGCTTTCTCATGGTAGTCAACCATCCGTTCGGACCCCGCTCCCAAACCTGCACCCTGGACTTGTATCTACTCCCATTAGCCCTCAGCTGGTCAATCAGCAGCTGGTAATGGCCCAGTTGCTGAACCAGCAGTATGCAGTGAACAGACTTCTAGCCCAGCAGTCCTTAAACCAACAGTACTTGAACCACCCTCCTCCTGTCAGTAGATCCATGAACAAGCCGTTGGAGCAGCAGGTCTCAACAAACACAGAGGTGTCTTCCGAAATCTACCAGTGGGTCCGCGACGAACTGAAACGAGCAGGAATCTCACAGGCAGTATTTGCACGTGTGGCTTTTAACCGAACTCAGGTCAGTGGTTTTTTACTGTTCTTTTCCTTAATCTGAGGGTTTTTTTTTCTCTCTCTATTTTTTTCTTTTTTTTTTTCTTTTTTTTTCCCCCTTTTTTTTCCCAATAATAATCTGGAAATTATTTCTTACCTTGTAAGTCTCTCTCYTCATCTCTGCCCTGCCCCTTAGCTCCTGTGGAAGGAGCACATTTCCTGGCAGTATCTCTGTTGAAACATTATAGGGATTTCCAGTGACCCRGTTTGTGGATGTACTTGCTGGCTTTGGAGGTACACTCATTCCTTTCCAATTGCCATGGTTTTGAATGGCTTCATCTTTGCTGGAAAGGCAAATGAACAGTTCCTTGCCTTTCCAAAGCAACTCCAGACATTGCCTTTTGTGTTGTAGAGGGACAGTTATAGTGACCATATGCATGCATGGATCTTCTGTCCAAGCTGTCAGAAGATCAAGCTATCTATCTTGGGTGCTCTTGAAATAGTCTTTTATTCTTACTTGCATTTACTTTTATTATTTTCTCATGAAAATCTTAACACCACAACTCGTAGGTACATTTTGAAAAGACCTTAATTGAAAAAAAAAAAGATTATTTTTAGGTTTTCCAGTGTTTCATGTGGTTTTGGAGTTTGTTACTTTGAGATTGTCAATGTCCACATCAGAGCGTATACTTCAGCTCTTCAGTGCAGAAAAAAAGCTTTAGCCCTAGCAAAGCTGATAAGTAACACTAAAATGTGTTATTTTTTACACCTGTTTTAGAAGCTAACCCTGTTATAATTTATTCTGCTCTATGAATTTAACTTAATGCCATGTTGCATGGAATTTAATCAAGCAGAAGTTATGGGAGAAATGTCAGGATATCCAATGCATATAATAAGATCTCAAAATTAATAAAAAAAATCTGTTTTAGCAGAAAATATAATATAATTCTTAATAAGAAGTATTTTAAATATATGTAAGTAAATTGGCTTTAGTTTTCACATTAATACTTAAGGAACAAGTGTTTGTCCCTTGTAGTATATAGTAGGAAATTACAGTTTTGGCCTTTCTTGAAATATTGGTGTTTCTCCCTGCATAGCTTACACAATAGAAACCATTTCAAATGCACTTGCACCAGGTTTGCAGCAGCAAATCATTTGTAATCATTTTGAATTATTATTGTTGCCTTAAATTTTTTTACATCCTCCTGTAGCTAGGAGGAGGTACAGACGTGGTGTGATTTCTGTGTGTGTGTGTCCATCTGTGTGCATGTGTGTCTTCCCTCTTAACCAGGCAGGTCTTTTATACATTATTCCATGGGTTGCATGTATAACTCATACAGGAATTACTTATTCCTGTATATACTTATTACTGGAGTTAAGCTCCAGTATYTGATATTTATGTAAATAATTGAACACACTTACCTGTTGCAACTTTGACTATTGATAATATTAAGTATTGAAATGATAATAATTGCTTCAAGTTACTGTCGTCTCAGGCTGTCATCCTACCTGGGCAAAAAGCTGAACAAAWAATTCAGACAATAAATAATGCATTAGATATTTACTAGCAAAAAAGCAGCTTGTTTTCTCCCAACTTCTTTCCCTCTCCAAATTCATTTGTTCAGTTTTTGTCAGCTAGTTTTACATACAGTTTTTGATCTGTCTTTTGTGYACAAACGTGATTTGGTATTTAAAATACAAGGATGATTGGTTCTGACTGGACACAGAATTTATATGACCCAACATATAAAGAGATAGGACTCTCGTCCTTGAGATAGGACTAGTATCAGATTCCTAGGTCAGATTCCTATGTCAGAACTAGGCCAGATTCCTACTGTATATTCTGACTCCTGATTACCATACATGAAAAAAAAAATTGTTAAAATCCATTCAAAATTTGTTTCTTCTACAAACATTGTGGTTACACACTTTGATAAAATGTGTTCAAAAGGACCCAAATTGTGAGGAAACCCAAAAAAGTGCCTATTAAAAGAGTCCAGTGAAAATATATTACATATCAATACACACACAAATATATGTATGTTTGTATGTATTTGACATATTTTGAAAATATTCAAGATCTACTTTAAAGAACATAGTAGTATCACCATATCTGACAGTTTATATTAGCTAATCATATTAGGATTTACAGTTAGCTCCTCAAGTGCTTGCAATACTTTTTATTTATTGTAGCAAATGTAGGGAGGAGAAAGGAAAAAGAGTAGGAGTTTAGGAATATTCGCCGTGCTCTTGCAAAAAAAGGAGGTTATCTCAGCCTGCTTATAGGCAAGTGAAGCCCCAGCAGTTCCAGAGGAGTTTGTTGCCAGTCTAAAACTTGACATTTATACCCACAGCAACGGCGGAAGCCAAGGTATGCATATAGGTACAGGTATAGATAGATGCCTGTTTTTTTTTTTTTTTTCTATGAAAACATCTAGATTTGTTTGGCTTGCTGTGCTTCAGAATTGATAACAACTTATTCAAAGATTTATTTAAGGATCACATTGAAGTAAAAATGAGGGTAACACTTCAATAAATGATGCTATTTTAGAAGTTATTTCCTAATATTGATGTAAAACCTGCTGTCCTTTTTGGGAACTAGAGCAAATGGTAATGCTTGTTTAAATTCAGCTACTGTTTTCTGAGACAAAAAGCTAACTCAGGCTTAACAGTGACATTTTTGAAACTGTCATAAGCATATTTGAGCTGCGTCCAGGGAGCCTATCATGCCATCAGCTTGGGAAGGCAGGAGACCTCACGGAGATTGGCTAGGAGTTCTGCACAAAAAAAATGATCTCTAGGTATAGTCCCACATGAGGGAAGAGATTCATTTTCAGCATAAAACTAAAGGAAGGGACTGAATTTTAAACCAGGAGTGATGCAGCTTGATGTTTTGGCAATAAAATGGCGTTGGAGTGGCTGAAGATCTTGGCACGTCCTATTCAACAGCCTTCCAGTCCTCTATAGGAATGCAGAATTCGGTAGGAATTTGGGGTGCATGGGGGGAATTTTACCAGCTCAGAGTGCTAATTCAGCATTTGGCTTTGTTTTCCAAGAATTTGGGAGGCTGGGGGAAAAATGTTGCCTAGAAAGGTTTCTGCTTACTCCCAGCCCAAAGGAAAGGATTGCGTTAAAATTACTTGTAGGTTTTTTTTTTTTTTTTTTTTTTTAATTATCATTTAGAGGATAGAGGGGGAAGAAAGTCCTCAGCCAGACCTAAACAAATAGGCAAGGTGTTCTTCATCTCTTCTCGGATCATTTCTCCTTAGCCCTAGCTTCAGCTTGGTATTTTGGAAAATAGTTTGGAAAATAGTTTGGAAAATGTGCAGGTCTCTGGAAGGTGTCTCACAAAGACTAACCGGAGTCCAGTCCTCTCCACTTCGCTGCTCTTGCCACTTTGGCTGCTCTTGCCACGTCTGCCTGTTGCCATTTTTCTGCTACCCACAAGTGGCAGACTTTCATCACGGGACTTTGGTCTAGATCTCAGTGTTTCTGCCACATGCTTTTCTCCATCCTTTCTCCTTCACCCCCATGCCTTCTTGTTCAAAAAWCTATTGACCAGAACACGCTGTGTTTCAGTCACACATAAGTGCCCTTTTTTCACATATGAAAACTYGTGTGTATTTAGGACAGTGCTCATGCAATGTCTGGACAGTTGCTATTTTGAGGGAGAACACTTGGATGCAGAAAACCGCTCTCTCTAATTTTAAAACAAAATCTAAGTTTACACCAACCACCTTCTCAGGCATTTTTTTTTCTCCTTCCATTTTGTCTTTGGCACACTTCATTTTCCAGTAAAATGAAAAATGAAGATGGATTATTCAAAATTGATAACAGTAATGGACCATCATGTAATGTTTTATTGAATTTGAGTTCTGTAAATTATGTGGTAGAGAGAAATTTGCCTGCTTAAGTATAACAGAAATTGCCACTGTATTCATATAATTCTTCGTAGTGTAATTTAAGAAAAAGCACACTATCCATATCACTATTGAATAAAAGGTAAAAAGGTGCTATTACACTATCATGACAGCTCTCCTCTTGCTACTAAGCGACGTAGATAAATGTGTCTGCTTATAACTTACTTGGCAGGGATCCAGGCATATGGGAGGAGCTTGCAAATAATCTTCCACCTGGACATGTGACTTCAGCCCCCTGCAAGGGAGACAGGCAGCGCTCAGGGATGCTCTGCATATTTTGGGGAGGTTTGGGCAAATTGCGCTTTTCTTCTGGGAGCTTTGAAGTTCTGGGAGGCTGATAAAATCTATTGGAATCGGTGATTACGTTCAAAGAGGAGACAAACGGGGGGCCAGGCARGCAGCGCTCGTGTTCGTATTGGCARGCGCCTTCGTTTATCTCCAGTTTTAAAGAATTCGTAATTAGCTTTTGAAAGAGCTGATAATATTTATTGAACATTTTTGTGCAATTAGTAATGAATTATATTGTGATGACATGTGAACTTTTTTCCCCCCAAAGGAAGAATTGGTAATATCTTAAGAAAATAAATTTCCAGTGAKAGAAGAATAAAAGGGCAGAAGAGCGAGGGGCTCCCTGTGCCTGAGAGGGCTCATCATGTCTTTGCAAGAGGGCATTTCGCCTGTACAGTATCAAGAGAACACACCAAGGGTTGCATCTTGGTGAATCAGTTCAAGTCCAGTTAAATAAACAGTAAATCTCTGCCTGTCARTTTGAGAAAGGATGTGAGGGCTGGAGCTTTCTCTCTGGGATTCTCCTGCTTCAYGTTCTGTCATAATCTTTAGCTGAATTTTATAGATCACAAAAAAATTGAAGCACTAGCACTGAAGTTGTGTTTGACGCAGAGGAACTCGCACAGCACCCGTGTCCGTGTGTTACCCACACATTTACTCTGACCTTAAGGTTCAAAGTTCCTGGAAATCAATACAGCCTCCCTGCCTTCCACCGGCCTCCCTGCATCCTGCATCTCTGCCTTCTTCCTGCGTCCGCATCCTCAGGCTTCACGTCGTGACAGTGAGCAAGGAGGAGAGGGGCCTCATTATGTTGGGGCTTTTCTTAACCACCAAGGGTTGTCCTGCAGAAGTGCTCATACTGGCAAACACCACAAAAATACCACCGTCTGCTTCCCTTGTGTATTTCCCTGAAGGAGAGGGAAAGTCACGCAAGGAAAAACAGCCTTTTCTACTTCCTTAAGCTGCCCGCTATGTGGGAAAGGTTTATATCAGCCAGTATGGGCCAGACTATTTTGCAAGGATATTTTCTGCTCTTGAMATTGGGTTGGCAGGAGAGTCTCCTCTCCTGCCAGTGATCTGTCCACTTGAGTTTTGTTATTTTTTTWAAATTATTATTATTAATCCTGCTGCAGTATTCAGCAGAGTAGCGGTCAGAACTTCCCAAACTTACCCTCCTCAGCCAGCTGTTCCCTTGCAGAGTTTGTCAACCTGCAACCACTTGTCCCGAACCCCAAGTAGTATTTCAGGTGCCTGTTAAAGGACGTCACCACATACCTGGCAGCTTTAAGTCAAAAAATATTTGCTACCTACACCTTTTCTAACAGGGCTATAGATGGGTTTGCTGGATTTCGACTTCAATGTCAGTTGCCAACCATGAATTTTGTCACCTGCTGTTAAACAGGTCTTGTTTGGTCTTGTTAATGAGTCACATTTCTCTCTTAACACAGAGTATTACCATATAAAAAATACAAACCTGAATCAGTTAAGCAGAGCTCTAGGAACACTATCTGTTTATCGTCTCCGATTAATTCTGAAATATCACTTCTTTTTCATGCAGTTTAAGTTGCTGGAAATGTGAAAAGCCAATTCAATAAGTTTACTATGTTTGTTCTTTTGTTTTGTCTAGGAAGCCTGAGAAAAGCTAGTGCCTCTAAATAGATGAATTTCATTACTCCTAACTTCTCTGAATGTCGAGTGACTGTGAAAGATTTTATGGCAAGTTGGGCCAGTAAAAGAAAGGAGACCAATTACGCAGACAGAGTTTAGGTTGTATGTAAACCAGATGCTTAATAAAATTAAAAGTACAATTGAGGCGCTCTGCAACCTAAATTGTCATTAATATACTCCTGCATGGAGCCAATAGTGCATGTGGTGGTTCTCCTCGTAAACGCAGGGGAAAGAATCAAAAGGAATGGTTCGGGGTGACTTTGCAGAGCGCGGTTTTACGAAAGCTCCCCTAGGCTAACTGTGCAGCCTTGCTTTCCTCCCCTTCCCTGCAGGGCTTGCTCTCAGAAATCCTCCGCAAGGAAGAGGATCCCAAGACTGCCTCGCAGTCCTTGCTGGTAAACCTTCGGGCTATGCAGAACTTCTTGCAGCTGCCGGAAGCCGAACGAGATCGAATTTACCAGGACGAAAGGGAAAGGAGCCTGAACGCAGCCTCTGCCATGGGCCCAGCGCCTCTCATCAGCACGCCGCCGAGCCGTCCTCCGCAAGTAAAGCGCCCGCCGTGCCTCCCACGCGCGCTCTGCTGCTTTCCAGGGGTCCTCCCGGGTGGTGCTCCCTTTCCTTTTTGCTTGGGAAAAAAAAAGCCTAGCCTATTAGGGAGGAAGAACTATTGAGGAGGAACTTCTTTCCTGTGAGGGTGACCTGGCACAGGCTGCCCAGGGAGGCTGTGGAGTCTCCTTCTCTGGAGATCTTCCAAACCCGCCTGGATGCTGCCCTGTGCCCCATGCTCTGGGTGTCCCTGCTGGAGCAGGGGGTTGGACTGGATGATCTCTAGAGGTCCCTTCCAACCTCAACCATTCTGTGATTAATGCTACTACTTTTTTTTTTTTTTAATGCTAATTGAATCATTATTTTCAGTGTATATCACAAAATTAATGTCTTGGATGATTATAGCAGCTCATTACTATATATTTTTAAGTTTTGAGATAAATTCTGTRTATTACAGTCCACGCACAGTCTTTTTTCTTTTTTTCTGCTGCTCTTATGTTGTTCTCRTGTTACAATTTTAAGGAATTTGAAGGATATGGATAACTGAACGGGATAGGAATGAAAGCAGAAGAATCACTTAGTATATCAYATTGCCTTAAAAATTATCATCGAGGCAACTAAAGGAATAGAGCAGAGAAGATTCCCTCCAAAAATGTTGAGCTTTCCTTCACTAAGTCAAGCCATTGACAACTTGCAATGCTCTTCTAATTTACGCCTCTGTGTCCAAATGGCATCCATTCAGTGGCTGGATGGAGCATATCAGCCTTGCTGTACCCATTGCTCTGGAAGATTGGGATATGTTCATTAACTCTTAATTCAGCCCTCACTCAAATTTCTGTAAAACCTAGTGAGTCTATTTGCTTAATGCTCCAAAAATGAGAAGATTTGACAGATTGTAATCCAGAAACAAAACGTTGCAATCTGTCAAGGAATCTTGAAAATTTATGCCACTTTAGGGTGCATGAAAAATAGAAAAATATGGGTGTGAGCCATAGGAACACATAGGATTTCCATGAGGAAGAAATGCTGCTGTGAGTGGCAAGGACAAAGCAAACTCATATAGAGATACATGGGAAACATGCCGTATGCACAATCCAGATTTCATATGCAAAAAAAAAAAAAAAAAAAAAAAAAAAAAAAAACAAGTTTTAGGATGTGGGAATTGTGTGATGATAGGAGTATAGAGCAGTCCCTGACTAACTGAGCTCAAGCACGTGCCTATGACTATGTACTGTACTCGTTCTGAATGTTATAAATTCCCACAGATTATTTTCCTAAATTTTCTGCAGCTAATGGTTGTTAAAGACCACACTAAAGGTAATAAATAACAAAAATGTAGGAAAAGGGAAGACGGAAGATCACTTCTGACCTGCTCTAGTACTTTTTTGAGAGAAGGATTTTTTTTTTTGCAGAAGGCCACAGGCTGTGCTAATGGTCTAGTTTTGTTATCATTAGCTGAGTTTAGTCTGGGAAATCCACTATAGATAGTATTCAAGATAAAGGATGGGARTCTATTTACATAGTACTGCTTTAGTGAGAAATAGTTAAATACTGATAACTCTATTTAAAATAACATGTGAGTTTCCCAGCTCCCACAGTCCAGGTGACTCATAGCAAAGGCTAATAACCCTTCCTGGTTACCTCATCTCTTTCTGCCAAGGTAACATCTCACTCTGTCTCGAGTGGTCTTGGGCAATTTCACAGCTAAAGAACAGAGGTAATTACAGGACCATCCAGGAGAATGTCAAGTCAGAGGTAGTCTTTGAATTGGTTTCAGTTCACACCATAAACTGTATAGATCTCTTGCACCCGGGAAGGAAGCGAAACTCAGTTTTTTACAGGCCATGCATACTCTAATCTGGATTTGGGGAAGGGACAGATCTCTCTCCTGCATTCTTGTATATCTTTACATTGCAATTTTTTAGAATCAGGAGTACAGTTAACCTAATAACATAAAAAGAGACAGCCCAAAGTGAAAAAGCATACAATTTTGTTTTGATTGTTTTTAACAGGAAAAAATAGGTTAAAACTGAAACCTTATAGGCTAATACTTAAGTTCTATAGCAAAAAAAAAAAAAAAATTCTATTTGGTGTCTGTCATGCTCTAAAGCATACGTGCTTTAACTGGTGCATGGATTTGTGCAGACCAGTATGTAGAAACCTCTGGGTTGGGATCCTGTGTGACATTTTCATGTGTTTTCAGAATCATCCTGCACTTGCACTGCTACTCAGTGTTCTGCATCCCAATTTTCAAAATTAAAATATCCATGTTAGTAATGTAAGTGCAATACTTAATGCTAGAAATAAAAACTAAATTATTTTAGTAATTGCCCTAGCAAATACAATTTTACAAATGATAGGAGAAATAATTTATAGTCACCTTACTGCAAAATTATTAATTGTGATACTGTAATACTCTCTACTCTCCAAAATGCCTACATTTTATTGAATATTTTATACTAAGGAAATAAAACTATTAAAATCCTTAGAACTARAAATTGATTCTAAGCAATTTAAAGATTGCTATAGAGGAATACAACATTGTATTTTCTGGCTTAGCTGTGAACTTTTGAATAACTATTGAAAGACACTCAATAAGTATTCAGTAACTACTGAAAGACAAAACAGGCCATTTATCCTGACGACAGAATTTACACAAGAGCCAACATATCAACATATTTAACATTAAATCTTTAGACTAATGCAATATTTGAAACAATTAAACTATGAAACCATGAAAAATGGGAGCTAATATGCCACACATGAAGGTTTATTTTGCAATTGCAAGTTATCAGTTTCGGAAGGATGTGAAAATAAACATCCTGAAAAGGATCTATTTTGCATTTTTGTGTTGCCAACTGGTGGCCAGACAGTAGAGCAGACTTAACTATTTAGTGGCTGGGCTTGTTCTGAGCAAATTCCACACACTGATACATATAAAACCAGAAAGCCTGACCTTGGAGGTCTCGTGGGATAGTAGGGACTCACCAAGCCTAAACCCTGGTGCCTGAGTTAGCAGGAACTGTGTTGAATTTATCTCATTTTTACAGCATTCTTGCTAGTTGCTACTTGAGCTAATGTGTCTGGATTGTTTCCAGCTCTTTTTTGAAATCCTTTAAGAAGTTCTTTGTCCCCCGTATTTCTCTGTTTCTTTCTGCCTTAAACAAAAAAGCAAAATCTTCTTTTTTTTTTTTTTTTTAATTGAAATCATTATCCTCTAATGCCTGAGCTATCAGGATATGTGTGGGTCAAGCTGTAGAAATCTGTTGCTGTCTTCCACACTAGCACTCTGACCACACGCGGACAGCGTGTACCAGAATTGTCTCTTAATGCTGTTCATCTTGCCTCTTCTCTGGGACAGAAGCCCTGTGCTAAACTCTTCCTGGCACAGTGGAATTTGTAAATGTTAACATCATCTCCAGCAGGTAGGTACTGCATGGAGACACAGATCAACTCCTCCAACCTAGAGGGAAGAGAAAAACCTCTTTTCTTGTTCTATTTCTACTATTCACATCTGGGTTTTTTCATTTATTTATTTTTATTTTATTCAACATCTTTAGCTTACCACAGAGGTCCTTTCTGGGTATTCCGAGGGCAAGTCGCATAGGAATGAGACAGTGCTGGGAAACTTTAGGGACTGTTCAGTGTCAAACCATGTTCTGGGCTTCCTTGGTGCCCACCAGGGATGGCCTTTCTGCACTTACAGCTGTTCCCTTTCAGGAGAGCAAATATTCTGCATTTTAGCAGAACTGGAGGAGAATTCCCTCCCCACAACTCTGTTCCCTAAAGAARATTCCTGCTAACTCTTTTGGCTCATTATCATCCTGTGTAAAAAGATAGTGCATGTAAGTCAAAGGCAGAATATAATCTTGACAACATTTTAAGAAATATCCAGAAACCTTGCACGAGTCATTGTTCTGCATACTCAGGTTAAGAAAACCTTCATTTTCCCAAATATAATCCTGGCCAGCCTCTGTCTGCAGGTAAAACATGGTTCGTTCCTGCTAAAGCGGTTTCAGCTCTGGTCCCAGATGTCACTCTTGAAAGGCAGGTCTTGAGGAGGCCACTGCCTTGCTACTTTTTACAACTAGTGAATCTGCAATTCAGGGACTCTGGATAAACTCCAGCTCCCACTAAACTTCACTGTGGGGTCCTAGAATTCAAACATATACATGAGTCATACTTAGCCACCAGCAAAATTTGTATTTCTGCGCCTCTCAACAATCTGAGATTTAGGTTGATAGTCCTTGTGCCAAATTACATTTTAATGAAACTCAAAATGAACAAAATATTAAATGCAACCCTCTCCCCCTGCAAAAACCACCATGGAGGAGAGTTAATGGAAACACTGACACTTAACTATAACTGCACTTCCAGGCGCCACTGTAATAATGTAGTAGTAAACCTTGTCCTGATAAAAGCTGTTCTGAAAGCAACAGCATTTATTGTACCTCCTGTGCTATTTGCAGAGCAGAACTGAAAAGTAGTTTGTTTTGCCTGGAATGAACTACTTTATGAATTTTAATGCACGATGTAATATTAAAAGCTAAACCAGGATTAAAGAAGATTTTTGTTCTCAAGCTAAAACAGCACTTGTGAGAATGTGTTATAAGAGATTTTTTTGTATTGGTTTCAGTGAGGGAAAGGTGAGCTTCCGTGTTTGTGACAGCTCGCTCAGGTTGGTTCGACAACAGCCAGGCCTTTGTTTGGGAGACCGGAATGAATCCACAAGTTTGCACTACTTAGATCAATCAATCTTATTTGAGGATAAATTATGAGGGCAGGCCAGGAGGGGATAGATGTGTTATTTTTTTTTCCAAGTATTTTTAAATKGCTAAATTGACTGTGCTAGGAGGAGGGTCGAGCAAGTCTCTAATGCTCAGTGTGATAAGTGTATAAAGTCCTGCTCTCTTACTCAGTTAATATTAGCAAAATGCAGTTTCTTTTGCAAACAATTTAGCTGATCTGTAGTTTCTTTTCGAAACAGAAAATGTGGGTATAAGTGTGGGTGGGGTGAGAGGTTGTGTTTAAGTGTGGATGGGATGAGAGAATATGTTTTGTTGTGTTTTTTCTTTCCAAAATGAATCTTTTTTCCACCTCCTCCCAAGTCCATAAGTTGCAATTTTTTTGGTTTTGTTTTGTTTCTTTGGGGCTCTTTTTGAGGAGGAGGGTGTTTTTTCCAACCCAGATTCAAACACCCTCTATCTTGAACCCAATTCTAAGTTCAGCACAACAGAATAGCTGCTTGCTGTGTACCAATTATGAAACAGTCTTTTGTACAGATATCCTCCAGGAGGTTAATTAGCGTTATTACACGGTACTCATCAGACCAGAGCAGGCCAATGGTCCATCTAGTCCAGCCACCGTCTATACCTGATCTTTAAAAAGAAATTGTTAGGAAGCTAGGGAAGAATTTTTATACCTGGCCTACTACTAAAATTGGAGAGAGAGGGGGTGTGGTTGTGAACAACGACTCTTAATAGTCCCCAAGTCACTCTTTTTATAACTTCAGAAATTTCACTGTCCTGAAGGTCTTTGGCCTAGTCTGGTATTTTGTTGAAGATATTGCAGTTTTCTCTTGCTCAGTTCCCTATTCAATATCAACAGAAGGAATTTTTCTTCTGGCTTAGTGATAGGTGCTRCAAAGTTGAGCATTGTGTTGTACCTGCAGAAAGAGAAATAAGATTTGCCTACCAGGCTTTGCCTACCAGGATGGGTGTTTTCAGTATTCCCCTGAGTTAAATGCATATCCTTATTGAACTGAGCGTTGACAAGTTTGGACAAAGATGCRTGTCAAAAATTATCAGCAACACTGTGTGCAAGACTTACACTTTGACAACCTGGGTGTTCACAGTTCAGTTAAGTAGTCTGAGAAGTATCACTACAGCATGGGGCTGGTTTTTTGAAGCTGAGTAGCAATCAAAAATACATCATGCAAAAATACATGTGGTAGAAGAGACTGTTCAATCAGAATCACGACGCCAAAGCATTTCCTTCTCCAAAGATACTGTGGAATTTCACCTTTTAGCTGCGTATCTTCATTCTCTTTTGTGCCCCTGAGGACTATCAGAGATTGATTACAAGTTAGGAGAACCTCATTTGGAATCATTGAATTAACTCTGATGGAGCTTAAACGTGTGGTCCAAGARGATGTGTTGACCACAAAACCATTACTTTTTAATTTTCTAATTTAGCATAGCTTAGCTTTCGCATTAAAGCAGGGCAACCTATCTCCAGTATTATATTGCAGTGTACTGGGGTATACAACATTGCCATTGGTTRTCAGTTTTCTTCTGGTGGGCCCTTTTCATGTAAAGGTTATAAAATTGCCACATATTTTGAATTTGCAAATGGTTTGCTGCGTGGTATTCAGGAGATGCACCTGTTCTTGCTGCCCAAAGCTAATTTGCCCGGAATGAGGCATGTATTCTCCCACCCTGCATTTCCACTTGAAGAATGGTGGTTCATGGTGCGGCTCCTCGTGCTCCTGGTTGGCAGGCATCTCCAAAGTTCCTGCTGKCCTAGGCTTTACCATCACCTACTATATCATATATAAAGTGTCACTTTGCTCTTCAGGTAATTGCCACAAGCTACAGAACATTTTTAAATGAAAACAAGTCACATGATAGAC